GCGCGGGCGACCAGGACCCCGAGCCCCCAGGCGGAGGGGACCCGGGGGGCGGGGGCTTGTTTCGCGGCTGCAGCCCTCTTCTCACCCACGGCCCCGGCCCTGCTACCTCAGGGGGAGCGACCACGGTGAGGAGTTTGGGGTGACCCGGCACAGAACTCAGGGGCGGCGTGCTGGGCGCCAAGGGCACATTTTGGAGATGGGTGCTGGGGGGCCGGGAAGGCAGGAGGTTGATGACAGAGATCACGTTGATGCACGAAGGACCACGCACTGCAGACGTTAACGGGAAGAGCGGCAAGTGCCACTTCGTGACCCTCTCCTGACCTCTTCACCCTTTTCATAACCTCAGCTGCCTGTGGAGGAACCGATCGTGTCCACAGATGAGGTCATCTTCCCACTCACTGTTTCACTGGATAGACTGCCCCCAGGGACACCCAAGGCCAAGGTAAGATAGCGAGGGTGGAGCTCCTGACCTCGTTCAGACACCCTGTCACGGCCCTGCCGTCTATCTCTACACTTGACTGTGGTTCCGTGTCTCTTGCACTCAGATTGTAGTGACCGTGTGGAAGCGGGAGGTTGAGGCACCGGAGGTCAGAGATCAAGGCTATCTGCGCTTGCTGCAGACCCGATCTCCTGGGGAAACCTTCCGGGGCGAGCAGAGCGCCTTCAAGGCCCAAGGTGGGAAGGTGCTGCAGAGGGGAAAGGCTAGGGTCCGGTTTGCGGGGTGCAGAGTAGAGCGGTGACCCTGGAAAGGGCCTGCTGGGGTGGGGAAGAGGACAGTGAGAACCGTGGGCTGGAGCTGAGGTCAGGACCCTACCCTCCCGTCTGCTTGCTCCACCCTCCTGCAGTGAGTACCCTGCTGACGCTGCTGCCTCCTCCTGTTCTGAAATGCCGGCAGTTCACTGTGGCTGGAAAACACTTGACCGTTCTCAAGGGTGAGCAGATCTGCTGGCGCAGGTCTTGGACAGCAGCAGGGGAACTGACTGGATGGCAGCGGGTCCGGGCACGCTGGCGGGGATGGGTCCAGAGGTCCGGCTACTCAGAGCTGGGCTGGTCACCTTCCACAGTGCTGAACAGCTCCTCCCAGGAGGAGATCTCCATCTGGGATATCCGGATCCTCCCCAACTTCAACGCCAGTTATCTACCTGTCATGCCCGATGGTTCTGTGCTGCTGGTGGACAATGTCTGGTGAGGGCCTGGGGAATGGCAGGGCTGTTTAACTGTGGACAAGGGCAAGGGCAGGAGTAGGGGCTGAGCTCTGGCAGGGGGAAATCATGCCCTGTCCTGCTCTCTTCTGAACTAGTCACCAGTCGGGTGAAGTCTCCATGGGCTCCTTCTGCCGGCTCCCTGGTACCTCTGGCTGCTTCCCCTGCCCACTTAATGCCCTGGAGGAACATAACTTCTTGTTTCAGCTGAGAGGGAGTGAGCAGCCCCCTCCAGGGGCCAAGGAGGTGAGCACAAGGGGTTGGTGTATTCAAGAAAAAGGGGTAAGAAAAGGAGGGGGGGGCCAGGCCAAGAGCTCAGTTGAGGACGGGAGGGGAGCTCTGAGGCATGTGAAATCTCCCTTTAACTCACACGCAGGGCCTCGAAGTTCCCCTGATTGCTGTGGTTCAGTGGTCTACCCCGAAACTGCCCTTCACCCAGAGCATCTATACCCACTACCGGTGCGTGTGTGGAAGCCCCTGCCAGCACCCTCCTGCTCCCCTCTGTGGCCTGAAACACGCATCTAGCTTCCTTCTTCCTGTTCCTAGACTACCCAGTGTCCGCCTGGACCGCCCCTGCTTTGTGATGACTGCTTCTTGTGAGTCCCCTGTTCGGACCTATGAGCGGTTCACTGTCACCTACACACTGCTGAACAATCTCCAAGACTTCCTTGCTGTGAGGCTTGTGTGGACCCCGGAGCATGCACAGGCTGGTGGGTCAGCTGCCAGGCTGAGACCTTGTCCCCTGGGAGGAGTGGGGAATGGAAGAAGAATGAGGTGGGACAGTGAGAGCAGCTCAGATCTGGTATCAGCCCCACCACAGTGGGTGACCCGTGGCATCTGGCTCTGGCTTTATACCCGGGTGATTTCCCCAGAGAGTTTCGAGACACAGCGGGGCTGAGTGACTTGAAGGGCATAGATACCGGAGCTGCTTCTCATTTATGAGCTGTGAGACCGTGGGTAAGCTAATTAACCTCTCTGGGCCTTGATCTTCATCTTTAAAGTAGGACAAATAACACCGCATGGGTTTGCAGATGAATGACGGGGAACATGGTTAGAACAGACCTCAGCACACGGTATAGTTTCCCATAACCCTCCACAAATCATGTTTACTCAGTTTACTCCACGGAGTGGCTTTGGGAACCAAATGTGGCCACACCGGTGATGGCTCTGAGGACTGAGGAAGGCTGTGCACTGCTCATCCGTGCCTGTTTCCGTCCCCCAGGAAAGCAGCTGTGTGAGGAGGAGCGCAGGGCCATGCAGGCGGCCCTGGATTCCATCGTCTGCCACACGCCCCTCAACAACCTTGGCTTTTCACGGAAGGGCAGCGCACTTACGTTCAGTGTGGCCTTCCAGGCTCTGAGGTCGGGGCTCTTTGAGGTGGGCCAGTGCTGCGGGACATGCGGGGGGAGGGAACGTGGTCAGGGCTCGTAGCTTCTGCGCAGGGAGGACGTGTAATGGGTGGTGCCGGAAGGCTGGGCAGAGGGAAAATGACACTTGTGAAGGTCTGGCTGGAATTGCTGATGCGTCTCCCGCTGCAGCTGAGCCAGCACATGAAGCTGAAGCTGCAGTTCACTGCCAGTGTGTCCCACCCTCCGCCCGAGGCCCGGCCCCTCTCTCGCAAGAGCAGCCCCAGCAGCCCTGCTGTCCGGGACCTGGTGGAGAGGCACCAGGCCAGCCTGGGCCGCTCTCAGTCCTTCTCCCACCAGCAGCCTTCCCGTAGCCACCTCATGAGGTAGGAACCGGGCGGGCATCCCACCGGCCTGGGCAGAAGCTGGAACAAGGAGTGAGGAGAGGGGCCGTGTCTGAGCCGAGCCCACAGCCTCTGCCCTCCCCCAGGTCCGGCAGTGTGATGGAGCGCAGGGCCATCACACCCCCTGTAGCCTCCCCGGTTGGCCGGCCCCTCTACCTGCCTCCGGACAAGGCCGTGCTGTCTCTGGACAAGATTGCCAAGCGCGAGTGCAAAGTCCTGGTGGTGGAGCCTGTCAAGTAGCACTGTGCTGCTCTGCGCCCCACTCGCTCCAGGAACCCGAAGCCCCTGGTGGGTTTTCTGCTCCCAGGCTGTGCCTCCCCTGGGACACCCCCTGCTGTGGACGAAGAGGCCCAGCAGGGCCGCCTGTCTGTGTGTGCTGAGGGACAAGGGCAGAAGCTGTGAAATGGGTGGTATGGCTGCAGCGCTAGGCCCACAGTATTTCTGAGTTCCTTTGGGGGGGCTGGCCCCACCCCAAGCAGGGCAAGGGCTCAGAGAGCTCCCTCGCCCCCACCCTGTCCCTTGTAAGTTTACAGAGTATTTTCCTCATTCTTGTTATGTTCTGTCTGCCTCCCACATTCCCTCCCACCCGCCGCAGCGCTGAGATTAGAGGGTGGTGATGGTAAAGGGACCTTGACAATGCCCCTCCTGTCTCAGGGTTGGGAGATAGCTAGGTGGCCTCCTTCTGCCCCTCATGTTTACGTTGGTGGCCTGAAGCACTTTAAGTTGTGTCTTTTTTTTGGGGGGGGGTTCTGTTCCTGTAACTTATTCTTCAACTACAACTTCCAACTGAAATAAGACTATTAAATGCCTGTTCAGGAGGGAGAAGGATGGCTGTTGTCTATGTGTTGATGGAAGGAGCAGACCAGAGGAGCTCAGGAAGTTTCCCTCTGCGCACATGAAATAGCTCCCTTCCTGACCCTGATTTTCCCATTCTCTATTTTACAATGGTGGTGGCCCTGCCCCACGCATCCTGGGCTGAAGTACAGGCTGTTTCCACAGAAGTTGGCGGACGAAAAGCACCCCCTCCCGGCACAGCCCCTCTGTACAAACAGCCCTGAGCCTGGGTCACATCGGATTCATGTTTATTAGGGGGGAGGAGGGAAGGAAGAAGGGGGTCCCTTGCTCAAGTTCTCCTTATCATAGCGCAAAACCCCCAAGTCTCTACCCTTCAGATAAAGGTGGACGACTCTGAGGCCTGGTTCCAGCAGCGAGCCAAGCAAAGGGTGGGGGACCTGTGCTCCTCCTCATCGTAGAGACCCAGGGAGCCGCTCCACTGCTCCAACCCTGGCCCTCCGGCAGGCTCAGACGTCAATGGGTTCCCGGCCTCGGTTCTGCCTCTTCACCACAAACACCCTCTGTCCTGACACAGTTACCAGCAGCGTATGTTCTCCAAAGACCACTGGAGGGGAGACACACCTTCCCCCACCAAGGAGAGGGAAGGCAGCACAGAGTTAGGGGGTTGGAGGGCCTCCACAGGGTCAAGCAAATTGGCTGGATCAGTAGCTAAAACTCCCCAAGGCTGAGAGATCGGAAGGAGAGGCCACTATGAAATCCCCTTTCTCTTCCTTCCTCAGTTCTGATACTAAAGGAAGAAAGTGGCTGAACTAGGGGATACTCGGTCTAGGAGACAGGTATTTGTTTTTTTTCCTTGAAAAGAGAAGCCTCTGGAAGCACCCCCACTGCCGGGGGCCAGGACAGGGAGCTCACCAGACAGGCGCTTGAAGGGGACATTCATGCCGTGGTGCAGCCGGAAACCGCAAGCTGTGCTGACCAGCTCAGAGATGGCACTGGCTGCCTGCTCGTCATTCTCGAGATCCCCAGACGACTGCACGTACATGGAGGAAGGAAGGTGCAAAAATAAGGGCACAGAACTGGGAAGGAGTTCCAGGCACGGGCCCTCTGGCTCGCACTTGTAACATCTCCCTCTCCATTTTCCAGCACCTCTGGATCACCCAGTTTTGGAAAAACACCTGAAACATCTGTGATGTTGTCACTTGTCACCCTCTTTGTGCCATCCTGTTTCTCATCTTTAAATGCTGGGCTTACCCTACCAAGCATCAACTCGTCTGACTCTACTGATGGCTCCTTTCTAACCCCTTGAAACTGGGTTTCTGGCCTTGTCCCCTTAGTAAAAAATGTAAAAATTCTCCAAGATCAGTGCCTGCCCACCACTGACTCATTAAAGGCTCTACCTTGTTCTGTCCTCCCACTTATGCTCCTGTCTGTGGAATCTAAACATCTTTGTCCTCAGACCCCTCCCCCTTCCCACTCCTTGGGTAATGATAAGGCAGTGGCCTGGACTTCCTCTTTCCTGGTGACTGTCTCAATTTCCTCCCCCGATCTCTTCAGTATGGGCTCCTCGCTAAGTCAACTTTAGTTCCTTTTGCTCTTGTATATTCTGTACCTCAATTCCTTATCTGTATTTTGGGTACAACAGTACCTATTCTATGCGCTTGTGAGGGGGGTTACTTGAGACAGTTGTGGGGAGATACTGAAAACAACTCCTAGCAATTACACCGACTACTGTTTTTCTACTTTAGATTCATTGTCTCCACTTGGGCCATCCAGTGTCCCCTTATCCACCTCCTCTGCAGTCAGTTCCTTTTTAAACTTACTGTTTGTTAAGGCACCACATCATTCTAGGCTTCTCAGCTAAGAGTCCTACTGAGGGAAAACTATCCCTAGAGAACAGTAGTGGCAAATGTATGTCATACATGTTATTGTGTTTTTCTTTTAAGACAAAAGATGTTGATGGATGAGTTGGTTTTTTTCCTAAACTAAGACCTCACTATTCAGGTTTCATTGCAGTGTTAGTACTTTCTAAGTGGGTTCTGGGTTACGGTCTGGCAGTTGGTCTCTAAAAGGTTCACCATTACTGCTATAGAAGATACAAGTACTTATCTCTAGTTACTATCAAGCTGTGTTATTCTTCCTTAAGATTTCTCCCCTTGTTACCAGCCCATTCTCGTATGTGGCATACCCTTTTCAGCCTATCCGCATCATTCACAATCTTGCTCAACCATTTCACTGGGTCATGTTTCTGTTCAAAAAACCTCTGAAGTTCCTAACCCTCAAGGTGAAATCCATATGTGTCAACCTGGCCTAGGAAGTGCGCCACAATCAGATCCATTCTTTACCATACCTCATCCCCAGACTTCTCCAAATTTTTTCTATGTCAACTCACCACCAATTCAGATAGGCACTGTCACACTCATGAAAATATATCCACCTCGCTGGTCTCAAACTCAAAACAATCCTCCTGCCTCAGCCTCCCAAGTGCTGGGATTACAAGCATGCGCCACCATGCCTGGCTCAAACCATTCATCTCTTAAACTCAGAATTCCTGCCTCCAACAAAAATCTCTTGCCATAAAATAAGTTAGAACACCAAGGTTTGAGACCTTCATTTCCTGGACTCCTTTAGCAGGCTTTCCCACTTGCACTGTTTTATTTTAAAATAAAATTCTTATTTATTTACTTAGAGACAGGGTATTGCTTTATAATTCAGGCTGGCCTTGAACTCACCAGCCCGGGCTGGCCTCGCACTCCTGGCAATCCTCCTGCCTCAGCCGAGTGCTAGGATTCCAGGCGTGCGCCCCCACGCGGCGCACTTGCACTGCTTTAAATCTGCAACCGTAAATCCTTACAGCTGGAGCGAAAGCTTAGAGAGCTACACTATATAGTAGTATGGAATACAGTACAAAATCGCTTCAAGAAATACCGAATACAGACATACTGGAGAAAAGTGTGGGCATTGTCAATTATTAACAAACCTATGATTAGGATTTTTGTAAAGTTGGTAAACCTTATCATGGCACACTAAGACTTAAGATTCCAGAGATTACTGAGAGCTTATTATACGCTGGAAGGACACCAGGTAAAAAGGACGAAAAGGGAGACAAGTCGGACGAAACTGGGCAATACTAGACGGGGTCACCGGCCATGTGTGCACTAAGGGGACTGCCCTTTCCCAGAACGCACCGCCAGCACTGCACCTTCGCTCAGCACCAGGTAGCCCAGTTGGTCTGGGATCCGCTCCAGCCCCTGGGTCAGTGCAGAAGTCTAGTGGGTAAAGATGCAAGCGGTGAGAAACAAACTACAGAGACGGCCCTCCATACCCTTCACCGGCCAACCAAAGTCTTGACGACGGCCCCTTCCAGACCCTCTTGCCCCGATATGGCCTTCAAGGCTGATCTCCCGGGGTCTCCATCTGCCCTCACTCTCGTCCCCCGGCCTCCCCACTCTGGCGGCCTGTGGCGCTCCTCTCTAATCTCTCGTCCCACCCTAGGCTGGACACTACTCCCTGGGCCCCAGCACCCTGCCGCAGATTCCTCCTCAGTCCGCTACGTTTCCGCCCCTCCCATTCCATTCCCACGCCGTCCCGGGATGGACCGGACGTGAGAATGGAGCGCAAGCCCAGGAGGGGGCAACCAAAGATCGGGGACAGGGACTCTGAACCCCCGGCGCCTCCTCCCGCGCATGCGTCCTCACTCACCATCGCGGCCTCAGAATCCGGTGGAACTCGGCACCAAATAGGTAGCTTCCGGCACCGGGCCCAGGCCCCAGGCTTCTGAGAGCTGTCGGCTCCTTTAACCACGCCCTTAGCATGGTGATTGGAGAGTGTCTGAGTCATTATACTTAATCAACCAGTGGGGAGCTCCGCTTCCCCGAGACACGCGCAGATTGGTCGTGTCTCCCGGTCCCTTAGCGTCAGGGCGGATGCGGGCGGAGGGGGCGGGGCCTGGGTGGTGGGGGCTGTGGGTGTGCGCCTGCGCAGCAGGAGCCTCGGGAGTTCCGTGGGAGCTTGATAGTCCACTAGTGAGATCTCGAGCGAGTCTGTTTCTGCCTTTCCTGAACATCTTGAAATGGAAACTCGAAGTGAAAAGCAATTCAGATGCTACTGTTGTGTAGGCAGCTCTCTGTTTAAGACAAAGATTTGTTCTCAAGTGTGTTTTTTCCTTGGATTTTTGTGATGAACAGTTAGGAGGTTGAATTGAGCCTCTGGCCAAGACGACTTAGCTGCAACACTTAATATTCCCTGCCAGGAAAAATTAGAAACAGCACCTTGGTGTCACTTTTACTGCATATATATATATATATATATATATATATATATATTTAAAATTTATAGTCTCTAGATCTATTGCAATACTAGTAATTTATGAAGCTGCGTTGCTGAGGTAAAATCAAGAATGATTTTAGAAATACTTGTTGGTGAGGATGAGGAGAAATGACCCTTATCGGTTGCTGGTGGGCCTCCAATGTAGCGCTTCTTCAACAAGTTCAACTTACAGTTGCCATAAGACCAAGCAGTTGCCCTCCTAGGCAAATGCTTAGAAAACTGAAACATGTTCACAGAAAAACGTACGTGCACGTTTCCAGCAGCATGAAGCAACCCACACATCCATCATTTGAGTGAATAGATACAGTTTGGTATATCCATACAATAGACTGTTTTCAGCCATAGGAAGGAATGAGGTACCGACTCAAACTGCAACGGAGATAAATCTTGAAAACACGGTGCTGAGTGAATGAGGTCAGATGCACGAGGCCACATGTTATGGAGTTCCATTAATATGAAATGTCCAGGCAAATCCATAGATAAATAAACAAAACGGATTAATGGTTGGCAAGGGACTAGGGAGTAAGAAATGGGGAGTGACTGTTAATGGGGTTCTTTTGGGGAGTGATGAAAATGTGGGATTAGTTGGTGATGATTTTACAACCTTGTAAATGTACCGAAGCTACTGAATTATACGATTTGAAATGGAGAATTTTAAGGTATATGAATTATATTTCAATTTTAAAACACTAAGTCCTATTGCTTGAGGAGAAAGTTAATTAGAAAGTGGGTGCCTTTTGTAAAGGAAGGTGGGGCGAGGGGGCGTAACTCAGTGGTAAATTGTGTGCATAGCAAGTGTCTTGTGTTCAGTCCACTGTGTGGGAGTCGGTGGTCTCTCCATGGTCCCCGGGAGAAAACGGCGTGAGGATTTAGAAAATAGACAAGACACAACAGCCGGGGTCAGGTGGAGTTACCTATTGCCTGATGAGCAAGAGGACTGACTCCAACAGTAGGGGCGTTTATTTTATACACTTGCAAAGTGGTATCATGAGAGATAATGTTGCCTAGTGACTAAGACTAAGACTAAGACTAATTGTCCAAGCAGGATACTTTTTTCAGTACTGAGATAGCTTGACTGCCTGAGGCACTCTGGATCTGCCCCACCCTCAGACACATGACCAACAACCAACTCCAGCAGCTCCCAACACCACTGCACAATACTCCTCCCAAGAGGTATATTTATGATACAAAATTTAAGTTAGAGGATATGGAGATAGAAGAAGTTGTATAGAGATAATTTACAAACCTTGCCTGGCCTTAGATATTGATGGCACTAATAGTATTATTTTCTTTGCACTTACTTTTAGACAATTTTCATGTGTACTACGTGTACCTAAACCTCTCATTAACCCCCTGTATATTAACCCCATTTTGCCCATGAGGATGTGCGGAGAGGCTGAGCCTTGCTCCAGGACTTCAGCTGGTGAATGGTGCAGCTAGTTCCTAGTCTTATTTTTCTGGCACAGAAGCTGATGTTTTTTTCTATTTTTTTATGAGCCAACTGGGGTGAGGGAGCTAAACTTAATTTTATCTCAAAATTTCCTGCTCTCATTTTTATTGATACAGAGAAACCTTTCACAGAACAATGTCCCGTCATAGTTAGAAATTTTTTTCCACAGCAACTAGATATGTAGAGAGCAAAGTTTCTCCTTCTTTCATTCAGTAAATGTTGAGTACCAGACACTCTTCTTGGAATTAGTGGTAGGTAGTGAATAAAAACAGGACTTTTAAAAAAGTGTTTTCAGGGAGTTGTGAGGGAGAGGGAGGTAAGCCAGACACAAAAATATAATGAAATTAATGTGTTAAGTGGTGAAAAGTACTATCAAGAATAGAGTTTCATTTACATCAAGTTCAGCAAAATGAAATATATTGTATACATACATATATATGAGGAGTGATTGAAAATGATGAATCTTTAAATTTTGAAAAATCTATTATAGTAAAGATACCTTGCCACTGATCCCCCTCAAAATACTCCCCTTCACTTGGAGTATTCCAAGACCTCTTGCCACTTTCTGAAGCAGTTCTGTAAATCCTCTTTTGTAAATGTCTTTACAAGGCATGATCAAAAATGGTGACTGCTGCAGCCAAGTGCCATCCAGTGAAAGGCAGGTTCATAAGAACCTTACAGTGTATCTTTATCCATCTTATTCACCACATCTGGCACTGTTCAGCTCCTGCCTCTTCCCCAAAGTCCATGGAAGGAAAACATTTTTAATAAATTCAGGACTTTGTGGAAGCCATGACAGCACTCTAGCGACACTCACAGAAGAGGACTTCCAAAATGCCTTCAGAAAGTGACAAGAATGATGGGATAAGTGTGTTTAAAGCCAGGAGGAGTATTTTGAGAAGTATTAATGTCAATATGTCTTTCACTGTGGTGATTTTTTTCAAATTCAGGCACACTACGTTTTATCACACCTTATTGTTATTGATGGCAAAATGATCAAGAAAATCGTGGGAATTTTACTAAAATTTGGAATAATGCTTGTTTCTGGAATAGAGGGGAGATGGATCAGAAAGAAAAACAAAGGGCTTCAAATATTTGGTAATCTATTTCTTAAATTCGAAATCTTCCTCTTTTTCTGCATGTGTGTGCCTGTGTGTGTATGCATGCACACATGTGTGCATATATACAATGTTTTTTTGTGTGTGATACTGAGGATTGAACCCAGGGCCTTCCCACTGATCTGCATTCTGAGCCCTTTCTTATTTTTTTATTTTGAGACAGAATCTCATTAAGTGACTAAGTAGCTAGGCTGGGTTCAGACTTGCTGCTCTTCTGTCTCAGCCTCCCAGAGCACTGGAATTATGGACAAACAACACTACGCCTGGCTTTGTGCACTGCTTTTAATGCAGTAAAGACTTGATCATTTTTTAAATCTTAAAAAAGTGGGTACTGTAACCAACCAATTTCATACCAACAGAAATATGTACATATATTCATCTAAAGACATGTACTGGAATGTTCATAGAAGCTTTATTCCTAATAATACAAAGTTAGAAACTACCCAAATTGCCCAACAATGCTTGAATAAATAAATTGTATCATGTTAACATCCTGGAACTCTTAGGCCAATGAGAATAAGTGAAATAAGACTACAAAATGGCATGAATGAATCTCACAAACTTGAAGTTGAGTGAAAGAAGTCAGTCACAAAAATGTACATTCCAGTTGTATAAACTATGAAAACAGGCAAAATGAATCAATGAAGTTGGAAGTCAGGGTAGTGGGTGTCCAGGCAGAAAGGGCCGCGCTGGTTAAGAAGAGCACTTTTGCGGGTGGGAACTGATAATGCTCCATTTCTTGATCTGGAAGCTGGTGTTCTGCATGTGTTCAGATTGGAATATTTAGTGAGTGGCATTTATGATATGTGAATTTTTTTTCGTGAATTCTTTATATATATTTGAGTAAAAAGCTTTTTTAAAAAACAAACTTAAGAGAACATAAATGAGCCAGGCATGGTGGCACATGCCTGTAATCTAAGCACTCAGAAGGCTGAGGCAGGAGGATCACTGCGAATCTGAGGCCAGCCTGGGTTACAGAGTGAGTTCAAGGTCAGCCTGAACTACATAGTGAGACTTGGTCTAAAAAGAACAAAAAACAGAAGAAGGTGAAGGAGAAGAAGGAGGAGGAGGAGGAGGAGAGGTGACAGGGAGGAGGGAAAAGAAGAAGATGATAGATGATCAGAATGGTGCTGATGGGTGTGCTATTTGATACCAGGTGAGCAGATATCAAATATCATCCTTTCTGATGAGATGACGATGACCAAGCAGAGACAGCAAGTGAGCCATTCAGGTTTCTGTCTACTTGTTGGATTATTTCAGTGAGCAGGATATTCTTGAGTGTTCATTTTCTCTTAGACTACAAGTTCCCTAAAGATAAACATCTGCTCTGCCTTTGGAATTCCAGTGTCTACCTAGCATATTGCTGACCTACAAATGGAATAATTATTTTTCTCTATTCTATACTCCAGTGGTTCCCAGAATTTTTTTTCTGATTTTTGGAGAATTTTTCTTGGCATCCTGGTCTTTTACTTTCCTACTACCCTCTCACCATACTTTCTTCTTTTGAAAAGGAGAGAATAAATAGTAAGATGTGAGATATGTTTGTATCCACTCATGCAGGAATGGTGACTTCCTTCTTTCTGTCCAGTCTGTTTCCTCTCAGCCAATACCTCATAGCTCAGCCAGACTAGAAGCTGCACATTCAGTTATTTACCCTTTTTCACTCTCTCCCAACACAAAAAATCTTTGCCCCACAAAGACCAAATGGGCTTATAGCTCTAGAATAGTGTTTACTCTGCCGCATGGTAATGTATCATTCGGCTGCCTATCTCACTTAAAAACCAAGCAGCTTGCGGGTGGACCTGTGATGCTGTCTTAGTCACTTACCTGTGGCTGGGGCACAACACCTGACACCTGAACCTTAAAGGGAGGGAAGTTTATTTTTGACTCGCATTTTCAGTGGATTCAGTCCATGGCAGACTGGCTCTAAGACAGGAAACAGGATGCCAGAATGACAT